TGTGTAATTTAAGTGTGGGGGAGAGATTTGGGGTTTGACTTTGTGTTCTGTTTTCTTAGTTTTTCTTTTTCTTTTCACTTTGAGTCTCATTCATATCATGCATACATGTAAGGCATAGAAAAACACAAAAAATCGAAAAATTTGAAAATGTTTTGCATTTCTTGCAAACCAAAAAGAAAGCATGTAGTTGCATTTCATCCTTCTAAGATTGAGTCTAGTGTTGACATATAGGTTGCATTGCATTTGTATAGGGCATTATGATGAATTTTCCTTGTAAAGTGCTTAGTGTTTAGAGATGATTTCAGTTTTTAAGTGCTTAGTTGTTTGATGCATCATATGATTGCTAGAAGTTAAGGCTGAACCATGCTTAGATTGCTAGATTTGGTCTTCTCATCTCATTCTGAAAGCATTTGTTCTCTGAAAATCAACTATATCAACTTGAACTTTAATTTGGACTTTTAATTATCATGTCTTATGCATTAAAAAGTGAATTCAAGGCTACCATATACATATTTGGATCATCTTTCTCCTTTCTACCACTCTTGTTGATCCAAATAGCTGATCCTCATAATTATGGGACAGTTACATCCTCTCCCTTAACCAAATCCTCCTTTTGAGCCTAAACACTATTGTGAGAGCTATGAGGCCTTCGCATTGCATTTTCGATTTTGTGTTGGCAAAAAGTGTTAGGAATTAGGCTGGCAATGATTAGCTCTCTTGTATATATCAGCTTGCATTTTGAGCTTGATTCTAGGATAGGAGTTTTGGGGTTTAAAAGGGTAGAGTTAGGTGGTTTGAGCTTAATGTTTATATGTTTTGAAAGAAAAAGAAAAGATTTGAAATAGTAGAAAAGGGGAAACAATCTAGAATTCTGGTTAAGTAAAGGGAAGAAAAGCTCTAACTTCAAAAAGAAGAATTGGCGCCAACAACAAAGCTCAGAAAGGGTCCAAAGAAGAAAAATCAGACCAGGAGCAAGCCACCAAAGGTGATGAAGGTGCCAATACAACAAAGAAGAGCAAGTCCCAACCAAGAAGAAACAACCACACAAGCAAAAAGGGTAAAGGGTAGAGTTTAGGAAAGGGTAGACTTAGAGGGTTCACTCTTGGGCTTAGAAATGCTTAGGACTCATCTTTGGGAAATAAGGGTAGAAGAGAGCTTTGAATTGCATGCATAAGTGTGCGTTTACCTTTAGCATTTTGCCTAAGATGAAGTCATTTCATTGAGTGATCCTTTATGTTTTTAAAACCCTGTGCTTAAATGAGATCATTCTTATCTCATAACCTTACCCCTTTTCAACCAAATGTCTTCACTTGGTTTGCATAAGCATGATTCATGTTCTGAACTTAATTGAATGTTAAAGAGTTGATTGATTTGAGAATTTGCCTAAGTTTAGATTTGAGATAAACATGATGAGCATGGCTAGGTTCTTTTAAGTATAGCTGATTGTGTTTGCATCCGACAACTAGGCACTTGAGAATTAAAACCATCTCTTTACCTTTGCACTTTTGGAATCTGAATGCCCACTTTCAAACCTCACTCTCCCATTTGTTCTTATTTTCTTGAGGACAAGCAAAAGGCAAGTGTGGGGGTGTTAATATCCCTTGTATTTACACCATTTAAGGCTGCATTTAGTACATATTTTGGTCCTCTTTTGCATGTTTTCCCTTAGATTTTGTCCCATTTTCTTCTCCTTTTAGACTTAGGTTGCATTTAGAGTATAGTTTGCACTTTCTTTGCATTTTGGATGTTTTTAGGTGCTTTTGGAGCTAAAAGGAGCTTGGAGGAGCTTTGGGGATGATCCAGGATGCTAGCTGGGCAAAAGGGAGCAAGAAGGATCGAAGCAGAAGATCTCTGTAGAAGTTTTCGGTCAGAACACGGTGAGTATCGGTCAAGGATGACCGATGCAGAGCAGTGTCGATCACTAGTATCGGTCAAGTGTGATCGACACAAACACAATGGATGGATTTCGGTCATATGTGTCTATCACTCCAGACCAATAGGGATCCATTTCGGTCACTAAAGACCGACACAACTGACCAATACTGACCCAGCCCGAACCTGTTTTTAATTATGCTTATGCCATTATTCTAGGGTTTTCTTCTCTAGGCTATAAATAGCCTCTTTTTCCAGATTTTCGACATGTCTTGTCAAAATACTGTTCTTGGGCATTTTCTTTAAGTTTGTAAGACTATTTCTTTGCTTTGTTATATATAATCAAGTATTTGCTTTAATCTTTCTTTAATCTCTCTTTTAATCATGATTAGCATCCTTTCCCTTTGTGAGTTGGTGTTAAACATGATTATGAGTGAGTAGTTATCTTAGGGTTTCTAGATGTGGTAGATTAGGGGAATTTAAGGCTTGATTAAGGCTTGTTAAGTGCTTTAGTTTATGGATTCCTCTCTATTAATATGTTATTCATGCTAGATTAGTCTTGATCAAACTGGTCTAAGTTGTTAGCTTTCTCATATGCCCACCAAGTGTTTGATGAAATGCTGATATTGTTTAATAGAGGATTTGCTGGCATTGGCTCAGAGATTGATTGTTTGAGGAGCATTTTGACTTGAATAGAGTTGTTTATTCTTGCTTGCTTGATGTTTTAGCACTAATGAGAGTTAGTTCTTGTTAGAATGTTTAGCAAAGGGTTATTTGCCAAGAGATTGGATCTAACTAGCTTAATTGTGAACTCTATGTCTAGGAATCACCATTGCTTGCTTACTTGTTTGATCAATGTAGTTTGAAACAGCCTTAGTTAATGTATGAAATTCCCCAAAGTCAATAACCACATCTAGGATCTTGCCTTTTTCTTATTTGAATCTCTGTTTTGCTCTGTTTTGCTCTGTTTTACTTGTTTAAAACTGCTTAGATTACTTTTGCTTTCACTTTCTTTGCTGCTTGCTTCACCTAGGTTGCTAGAACTGTTGCTTAGGCAACAAAACCTTTTCTCTGCTTGCTTGACTTAGAGATTTTACTCTCAACTCTTCTGTTTTCAACTCTTCCCAATTGGATTGACATAAAACCCATACTACAACTGACTAGTACAAGGGTGATTGAAAACAAGTCCCAAAAACCTTGTATCACATAATTATTCCAGAAACACTTAACAGAATTCAGATTCAATAACATAAACTAAACTTATCAGATTCGGTTGAATTCAGAAAGCACTAACACAAGTACTTAAACAGAAACTCAAACTCAGAACATGAATCCCAAAACCCAGTCCTAATCCACCCCTTTCCTTCACTGCCTTCCAGTCCGCCTTCAGAGCTACTCGCCCTGGACCTTATCCTTACATGCACACTCAAAAAGAGAGACATAAGTATTTGATAAATACTTAGTGAATATGGTCATCCCAAATCACCTTAGCCAGTATCAGAAAACACATCATACTATCAGTTATACAATTCACATTATCACTTAGCAAGCAAGCACAGAAAACAGTACGGCCCTATGATCATCTCAACTACTTGTGAAGCCTCACAAGGCATCGGTTTTACTCCAAGCGAGAATCACACATCCCCTTGAGCTAGTAACTTGATAAGGACATTCACACAGCTAGTTAGACACCATGTATTGACCATGGTTCACACTTAACCATTCACAATCACAGAAACATTGACCTTGCTAAGCAGAAAGCACTAACTTACACAAGCAATCAATGAAAATCAGATAACCTAGAAATCAAACGATTCTAGATACATATCACAGTCACGCACTCACCTTAGACACAGAAACAAACGTTTCAGTCGAATGAATCTCGGTGACTTCTCGATCAGAAACTGAGATAGTCGGACACACTTGCAATTTCTTGGCTATCGCTCAGACTGGTCCGGCAAAACCTCAACACCTCTCGGCTATCTCTCCACCGTGCACTTTTTCTCGGGCAAGAATCTGTATTCCCTCGGAAACAGTACAATTCAGATCGATCAGTCCAGTGTTACTCGATAGAAACTCAACAGAAATCAGAATAGCCGCACACTTACCAGATTCTCTCGGCCGAATCGAAGTGTTCTCAGATATCTCACGATCTGCTCAGAAATCCTCGGATAAACTCAGTGATTCCTCTAGAAAATCCCCAAATCAGAGCGAATGGTCGGATCAGATTGACAGAAACACGGACAAACACTCGATCTCTCAGTGATAGTCGGAATCGCCGGCGAAACTTTGATCTCTCTCGGCTAACTCTCGGAATAATCAGAATCTCTCGGATAATCTCTTGACTAATCTCTCTCTTACTCTTTTTCTCTCAAAAAGTACGGCTCTCCTGAGATATTGTGGTGTCATTTTTGATCCACCATGTATTTATCTCATTACTAAATCATTATGAAAGAGTTTTGCAACCGACAGATTGATCTCCATACTCATCAACTTTAACTATTGCTCAAGCAAGTAGAAAAAGTTTTGTAACCAGCTGTTTTGTGCTCAAGCAAGTAGAAAGAGTTTTGCAACCATCTATTTGTTTTCATCGATTCACCAACCCTATAATATCATACCTCCTTGATGTATTTTACTGACTTGGCCGACTGCTGCAAGATTTCAGCAACCAGACACTCCGTATAATAATCACATTACTGATTATGATTACTCGGCTTTACTACTTGGGCCACGAAGATTCGGTGATAGTAGTCCTGGTTTAAGAAGAAGTTGCCACAACATTGTTATTCCAACACAAAGCCCTTTGATCACTTTGTCCCATAAACTCAGACACCATCTTTTTCTTACATCTTGTTCTTACTCCAGGATCTAATTTTTGACTTGGTCTAACACTATATAATCTTTTCAATTTGTTATATTTTCGGGTTAAGAGAACGAGAAATGCACTTAACCAAAAGTCTCTTCTCGAGCCAAGATTTTGTAATTCAATGTTTGATATAAAATTTCGACTATTATCAAAATTATCCCTCAAACAGCTATAGTTTTCATTAAATCTAGCGTAGTTTGATATAAAATTTCGACTATTATCAAAATGCTCCCACAAAACAACTATAATTTTCAATTGTTGATAGAATTTAAATCTTGTCATCATAAAAAGAAATCTGATAAACGAGCTTCATATCCCAAGGAATAAGAAAAGACAAACTTTTATTAAATGTTTATATGCTTGGCTGTAAAATTACATCATCAAAGTCATATATGAGAAATTGTGAATATTGCGTATAAGAAGGCAACAATATGATCCAAATACTTTCAGATTCAAAGAACGTCTCTATCAGATGGCATCTTCAGAACCATAGCCTCCCCATCTGCATTACACACATATATGGAAATGCCATCACATTCTTATGATTTTGTAGGAAATACAAAATATCATATAACCACAATACTATTTGAAATCATGCAATGTTCACGATATAAACAAAGTAGGAAGAAAAACTTGGTTTGTTATATGGTTTTTACTTACCCAATGGCGTGTATTCTGGCAAACTTACGTACTTGGGACATGATTTCTTCGACGTCACATCTTTTGAACCAACACAGTCCCTGGGCTGTAGTGATAAATGAAAAAGATGTCAGAAACTGTTAAGGAAATCACCAATCTAAGATGAAAGAGATGTTGAATACAGACCTTAAAATCCCTATAGAAGCATATACGTATTTCATCGATTGCACCTTTTTTGCATACCACTTCAGGGTTGATATGAAATGCATTCTGAATAGCTGTGACGATACCTCCTAGAGGATACTTGTCGCTGTTGGAGGCAACATAGCCAAAAGGACATCCTATTCAAGATTTACAGAAGCAGATATCAGGAACTCTTCCAAGAGAGAAAATGTAGAAAATATGTCTTCACTGACTGATAAAACAAGACAAATTAGAGGACACTACAACATGCATGATCATTTAAATTTTACATAATAACAAAAATACTACCTACATCAATGGTAGATGAAAATATCACTGGCTACAAAGTATATGGATATACAGAATCGGTACAACTCTCTAGTCCCAAACTGACCATAATTATCTCTAATGAAGTCTTTGGGCATATGATATACAAAAATGATGTAACGAAAATATATGTTTGTTTCTCCAGTTAAGTGTCAAAATCTCATATGAGTAAATGAAACATGTAGTCAAATTCAAGCACAGATCTTAAAATTAAGGTTACCAAATAAAATGTACAAGGCAGAAGCTTAATTCCTTCAGAGTAATAACCTATTTGTACCGTGCTGCTCAAAAGATTCTATTTGTAACATAAATCCTTATATAAATAGTTAACTCATGAACATCTTGTGTATAACCAATTTCCTTGTTTAGCTAATCCACTATGCATAAACTTAACTCTGTCATGACTCACCGTGACGTTATGCTTTAAGTAGATATTAAGCGTGGTAAGGAAGTAGTTATACTCATCATGAAAAACAGGAGAAGTACATTTCCCATGTTTCTCTGAAAAAAAAAAAAAAAAATTATACAATCGTTAGAGAGCATAACGCATTTTTATCGCACTAAAATACTTAAACAAGAACGTATTGTGCAAGCTAACAGCACTAATTTAAAGGAGTATGGATTGAAGATAATTACCCCACTGCCAACAGGTAATGCAAAGAGATACATGACAACCAACAAATGAAACTCGATTAGTTTTGGTTATGCTAGATGAATAAACCTATCCGGAGAAATTTATAACAGATGTGACAGATAATCACCTCATGGCCCCAAAATGATCCTTTTCCACCATGGCATGACGAGGGAGAACCACAACTGAGACTAGGCCAGTACTTCTCTAAGCCATCCATCAAAGTCGAGATCTACAAATTTCCTCCTTTCAGAATCTTAATTTTAGATATTAAGACATGACTTCTATACCATTTAGATTAATTTTCCGGATGCTCTCGGGCCAACTTGAGAAAAGTTCAACAAAGACCACTTAGGAATATGAATGTTCACCTCCTTCTCATTGAAGTCAGATCGATAACAACATGAAGGCCAGGAACCGTCGTTATAGTCGGGCCATAGTCCATCTACGAGAATAGTACTAGAAAAGTTTAGTCTTAGAAGTAAAGAGGCTGAAAAAAGTAGATCCTCAAGCAACTAAGAGCCTACAGAGAAAATCAGCTACTGCATCAAGCAAATATATAAACCTAAAGGTCTAATAAGGTGAAAGACTCTAATCTGAATGTTGACAGAAAAAGGATCAGTTTTTCAGCAAATCCCTATGAAAATAAATCCTCTAGAAGAGAGATGATCGTCTTGAAAACTCACAGCTACAACCAAATTGTTTTGAAGCCAGAGAGTGATTAACACACAACTACACAACTAGATACATGTATTCACATATAGATTACCCATCAGACCCATTCACTAACTATAAGTTTAAGGTATGCAATATCTTCCAGATATATTCCAACTCCTAGATACATACAGATTTTCACCAAAACAGGATGTCTTTTGTATCAATTTTTTTTTTTAATCTTAAAACAGTCAACGCAGAAACTTTAAACTTCACCGGAAATTAAATAAATGAAAGCACTGAGCTGAGAAAGTCAAAGGTTAAAATGCAAAGAGTTTACTTACGGATAGTGAAGTGAGTAGGAGCGTTCGAGCTGCAATAGAAAAGAAAAGAAAAGAAACACGTAAGATTAATCAAAAGCAAACTAAAAGCCAACAGAGAGAAATTAACCAGAGCTTTGGTTTGATTGGATCATTAACGAAATAAACGAGGTAACGCAGAAGCATGAAGCACTTTTATTAGAACTTAATAAAAGACCAGCTTCTATGGAAGCTTGATATTTCTAGTTTTGTCCCATCTAATCGAATTTCTCAGATCCTTAGCTACCAAACAACAAATACATAAAGATGATGCTCCGTTACATAAGTTGGGTTTCAATCGGAGTTTCGTGAGAACGATAGCGGATTTCAAAGTCGAAGAAAACACAATCTCACCCTCTACAGCAAGCGTTTTTGGAGCAGCAATGGCGAGTTCCACGGCAGTAAGTTCCAGGCCATTGAAAAGAGAGAGCGAAATAATCGAACTCCCTCTGCGAGCGATTGACTTCGATGATGTCGTCTCCGGCCAGTCGTCCAGTCTCCGGTAGAAAACCCGACACGGAGAGAAACGTAACGAAGAGGACTTCGAGGACAAGGAGCGCTCTACGACAAGAAAACGATGCCATTGACTGTATTTAGATTGGATAACCGTTTTTTTAGCTCGGATTCAGATCGGGCCACTGTAGGTGTTAATATGTGGAGGGTATTATAGTCTTTTCTGCTTAGTAGAGGAAGGAACAAAAATCAACGAATATTCCTCTGCACCTTGGGTTCGGATAGATTCATCCTTCGTAACTATGCTGTGGGATATTTATGAAATCAAAAATTTGAATGGTAGTTTTAGATATCATATGTTTAATGTAAAGTTTTTGACGAATTTTTTTTATAGATTCTTTTCTCGGTGGAAAATTCACAAAATCAAAATTTTGATAAAATATTGTTGGAATATATTTTTGATATAATTTTTTTGGTGCGAAAGTTATTTATTTATGTTTTGGCATAAAATTGTGAAATCAGTTTTATATGAAATTTTTTGAAATCTTATTTTCAGCAAGTTTTTATCGAAATATTTACAAGTTCAATTGTTTGCGTGAAATTTTGCGGGATCAGATTTTTAGAAGGAGAATTTCTTCACTTTTATTATCATCTAATTTTGTCTCACTATAAATAAATATCAAAAGTTTATATTACATGTGAATGTATTTCAGTTATACAGTGAGAATTACGAACTAGAAATAGGACATAAAGTGACGAAATAAGATAAAAAAACTATAAAAAGATGAAAAATATTAATAAAAAATAGAAAACAAAGAATAACGAAGAATCATATTATTTTATTTTTGGTTTTTTTTAAATATTTTAAATTTTATGTATGTTTTATTTTTTACTATATACAATTTCTTAAATCTATTAAAACATTTTTTCACAAACTAAAATTTCTTACCAATATATTACTAAACAGCAATCACTTATTTATTATAAATAATATATATTATTATTAATTAATTTTTTATAAATTTTTTATGCCCACACATATGTGCGGAGCCAACAACCTAGTACTATGTAATTATCCGTGCTAGGCTGCGGGATATTATTCTAAATTTTATATACTTTTAATATAAAAAGTAATTTTTATAGTATAAATAAATATTATATTTAATTTATATTTAGTGTAATTTTTATATTTATGTCCATTTTATTTTTCCATCTAGATAATTCATTTGAATAAAAATTAAAATTTTGTTAGTTTTGTAACAAAATCGAAAAACATCAAGGTATTTGGTTTTTCAAGATTTCGAGAAATTTATGAGAGTTATCTAGATAAACAATATTAGATCATTGTGGATACAGAAATCCACACTCAGAAAGTTATGTGTTTTGTAAGGAAAGAACCTTAGGAGAATTAATGGCTAGATTCTCTCGAACAGAATGACAGTATAAGCTAGCACTAACTGAAATATGGACTTGATATTAATCGGTTGAATGAAACGGTTACAAGGATTTCTCTGAAATAGATGAAATGAGAAGAGCTCCAAGAGCAGTTACAGAGTTTTCGTGTGTAAAAATTGTAAAAGAAGATCAAGTCGAAGGTCCCCTGAACTAAGCAATTTGTGTCATTTATACAGCTCGCCTCGTTGGGCTTCATCCTCCAGCGCGTATCTCGGCCTCGAGCAGCAACTTTAGCCGGAAATCTCGGCCACGTGCAGCTGATTCCTCTGTGAATTTTGGGCTCGTTTGAACTGGCGAGAATATGCTCTGACTTGGCTCGGATCCTTCCTTGTTTCTCGGGATTTCATCAAGCTGGAGCTCGGCTCCGTCGATCGGGCCGTTTGATTGTTCGAGTTTGGATCAATGCAAGGAATTGTGCATGTGCTGTACGAATGAAGTCTAGCCAATTTGTGCTTAGTCTGGATCTGCTTGTTGGGCTTGAGTGGGCCAAATTTAGGGTGCGAAATTCAGCTCCAACAATTGCCCCCTAGCCCAATTACGAGAGCGAGCTCGAGCTTTAATGGGCGGCAAGATGTGACTTTTGAAAGATTTTGTATCTGTCGTGCTGACGTCATAATGTCAGGTAATCATTCGAGATCAACGGACTAGATCCTGGAAAGGTGAAAGGTCAATTGATCGTATGGTCGGGAATCGACCTCGAAGCCGCAACTTGACTGTTGAGATAAGTTTGTTATCGTTCTTATCCAGGTGGACGGTTGAGATTTCGAGTAAATATTGATATTTACTTTAATTTGGCGGTCGAGCTTCTCGGGGCAAGGTGCAGCCCTTGAGAGCGCGGATACTTTTTCGACGTGGAATGTCCAGATAGAGAGAGAAAAAGATGATCCGACGGCCCTGATTAATCGGGCTCTGTAACAGCCAAATCTGTGAAGTTGAATATTCGACGGTTGAGATCGCGAGATCGAATGGTGGAGATTGACGCAGAGCGAGATTTTTTGCGATCTCTGAGGTGGGCAATTATTACCGAGATATAAAGTCCACCTCCCCCACTTCTTCTTTAACTGCACTTGCTAGTCGATTAAAGGTAACTTCTACTTCCTTGCTTCTCTTTTATTTTCTGCAACTTCTGTTTGTCGCGATTTTCGAGAAAAGAAGTTTTTTGGTGATTGATGTTACTGCATATTACATACATTTTGCATACTCATTAGTTTGCTTTTCATGCATTTGCATCACGTTTTAGGTTAGATTGCATCACTTAGAGTCCTAGAGCATTCTTGCACCAGCATACGCATGTTCCTTGCATTTTGCATCACATTTAGGTTGTTTCTGGCTGCTTTGGAGTCGTGGAGGTTCGTTGACGTGCTGAAGCTGTTGTAGCAGTTCGTGGAAGCTCGGATATTTGCTAAGGATCAGAGATCGAGGAGCAGATCGAGCATGGCCGGTCGATCAAGGATGTGATCGACCAGAAGATCGAGAAGACCAGGCGATCCAAGGAGAATGATCGAGGCGAGGATCGAGTGAAGCAGTCGATCAAACGGTACAGACGTAAATGACGCCATGCAGAGTGAGAGCCAGATCGAGTACACCACTCGATCCAACCGAAGATCGATACCGAGATAGGATGCAACGCTCGATCCGCCGAAGATGATCAAGACCCAGATCGAGCTGAAGACACGATGTTCGGAGATGATCGAGAGAACCGCTCGATCCCGGAGTCGATCTCTGTCCTTTCAACCACTTTTGGCCGCTAGCGAGAGGGGGGACCATCCGCTTGTTTTGGCCATTTTGGGAAGGCGGCGACGTCCTTTTCCCACACACTTTTTCATCCTTATCTTTTTTTACGTTTTCTCTCTGGTTTTGGAGAAGAACACCATTGTCGAACTTTGAGTTTTCTTTAGCTTGTAATCGAATCGTTTTCAGCTTAATCTAGTTTTCTTTTCATGTTCATCGTTTCCTTTTCCATGTTTTGCTTGATTTACCTTATGTGTAGTGAGTAGTTTATTTGGGTTCGGGGTTGAGAGGATTAAGGGGTCTAAAGGGTTTCGATCTTGGGGTTTTCTAAGTGTTTTAATGGCTATCTCTTCTAGGGTGTTGAGCTCTCAAAGCTTGAAGACTCTCACGCCAAGAGCTTCATGATCCGAGAGGTTCCTTACCTTGACAGGATCCAGGAACCTCTGAAGATCACACCCTAGAGACTTGTTACCCCTTCCCAAAAGCCATGGAAGTTTGGGGGACTAGTTAAGCCACTCGTTTGAAATCCGTTTTCTTTGCCCTTCGACCTCTCTTTCCACCAAAATCCATGGGTTTGGAGGAGAGGATGAAAGAGTGATCTATACCGAAAGCCACGGATAGATCTTGCTTAGTTTTCAAGGCTTAGAGATCCTCACAAAGTGAGTCGATTTAAAGTTTTCAACCCAAGGTCGAACCTTTGAAACCCCTGACCATGAATCTCAACCCTAAGCCCTCTCTTTTAGCATCTTTACATCTTCTCTCGTCATTCGCTTGATCTTTGATAGCATCCTGGTCGTTAGTTTACTGTTCTTGCATTTTTAGACGAGATCGATTGTTACTTCTCGATCTAGTCGTTGATCTCATGGTCGATCCACCAGTCGAATTTTAGTAATTCGAAGCTTTGTCCTTTAATTATTATGTTTGTTCCTCATGGTAGTTTGATCATTCCTGGTAATATTAAAATAGTTTGCATTCCATTTAGTTGTTGCATCTAGTTTTTAGGGATTTTCTCAAAACCTATCTGTTTCGCTTAGATTTGCATAGTCCTTGCATTCTCTTTGCATTTTCTATCATCCTAGGTATGGATTGACTCTCTCTTGCATGCTGTACTACAACCTGTCTTGCATTTGAGTTTGATAACCTCATTGCATACTCACCCTTGGAAATAAAGTGTTTATCAAATGGCACCGTTGCCATCCTAGGATTGTTTAGAGAACATAGAGATTTGGGCCTTAGCAAAGACTAAGTCTTTACCTTATTTAAGTTACTAATCATTCTACTCTTAAACGTGTGTTCTCAGGTATATGAATCTTCGTTCACAGGGTGATAACAATCTACTTCCACCTTTGGAAAATATTCATCAGCTTGGTCATTCACGGCAAAGAAGAGTCAGAGAACAAGCCAGAGCCTTTGAGGAGATTGTTCAGCACGGTTTGGTTGACTTTGAAGCTATGGCTGAACACGAGCATCCAGAGGGACCTCCTCCAGCTCACGGGGCAGTGGGAAGGGGCAATGGAAACCCCCAACACGCGGCTAGACCCCCAAGAATCATAGGAGCCGGAGATGCTCCCAATACTCATCACAATAGATTTGGGATCACTCCTCCTCCTGTACTGAACAACAACTTTGAGATCAAGCCAGGTTTCATCTCCATGGTGCAAAACAACAAGTTCCACGGCTTAGCAATGGAAGATCCCTTGGAGCACCTTGACAACTTCGAGCAAGTATGTGGGATGATCAAGATCAATGGCATATCCGAAGATGCTTTCAAGCTGCGTCTCTTTCCCTTTTCACTCGGAGACAAGGCTAGGCATTGGGAGAAGACCCTCCCACAAGACACCATCACCTCATGGGCCGAGTGCAAGAAGGCCTTTCTCTCGAAGTTCTTCTATAGTACCAGGACAGCACGGTTGAGAAGCGAAATCAGCGGCTTCACTCAATGAAACAATGAGACATTCAACGAGGCAATGGAGCGTTTCAAAGACTACACGATCCAATGTCCTCATCACGGTTTCAGAAAGGAGACACTACTCAGCACCATATACCGTGGAGCTTCACCGAAGATCAGGTTGTTGCTTGACACAGCTAGCAAAGGGAACTTCCTTGGTCAGGAG